ATAAAATTGAACACTTCAAAATAAAAATGAGCAATTTTATATAAAATTGAACAGTTCAAAATAAAAATGAACAACTTATGAACACTTCAAAATAAAAATGAGCAACTTAAAATAAAAATGAACACTTCAAAATAAAAATGAGCAACTTAAAATAAAAATGAACACTTCAAAATAAAAATGAGCAACTTAAAATAAAAATGAACACTTCAAAATAAAAATGAGCAACTTAAAATAAAAATGAGCAATTTTAAATAAAATTGAACACTTCAAAATAAAAATGAACAACTCAAAATAAAAATGTTCAACTTAAAATAAAAATGAACAACTTAAAATAAAAATGAGCAATTTTATATAAAATTGAACACTTCAAAATAAAAATGAACAACTTAAAATAAAAATGAGCAACTTAAAATGAAAATGAGTAACTCAAAATGAAAATAAGCAACTCAAAATAAAAATAAGCAACCTGAAATAAGAACGAGCAATATAAAATCAAATTTCAGCCTTCAAAAAAATAAAAATGTCAGTCTTGATCATTCTTCTGATCAAGATATCACAACCACACACAGCATAATTTCTCGTTTCCGATTTTTGTGTTACCACAGTTTTATTTCATCAAGTATTCCCATGGCGCTACGACTCCAAGCTACGCAATTGTCGATGACGTAATATCAGTCAAGACTGTGAACCACTTACTCGAACGATACAAACACTATCGTTACTTTTCTCGAACTTCGTTATCAGTGTCGTCGAACATTGCCTCACAATTATTCTTAGACACGAAAGTCTATTATTTCTTAGCAAAAATTCTCCATCATCGATTTCCGACAAAACGAACGTCATTTTCTGCCTCTTCGAACGTGCTTGCTTGCTTTGTTGATTAACATAAAGAAGTTGTGTAACCACGCATAAAAATTCGCGATTACTTTGAATGTCCGTATGAATTTGTACGATGGCTCACGTAACGTGATAATATTTTGTTGAGTATTTCGAGATGGACATCGAGATGCTTTAAAGATGGGGATTTTGGGAGATGTAGAAAAATGAGACGGGATGCAGACACCCACGGGGGACCTTGGAAACATCCAGTTTTTCTGCGTAGTTGATTCGGTGTTTTACTTTTCCTTTCGTCTGTTTTCTACTCTGCAAAATTCGCAGTTTGGTCATTTTGTTTCTTCTGGGTTTTTTAATCGATCGACCTGTTAGCTCTCTAAATTTATTTATTTAATAACATCTTCTAATCAAATCAAACTTGATACTAGAAATGTGGCTGAGATCGAAAACCTCGTCCTACTTATTTTATTTAAAATAGTTTAAGAATTTAATATAATTTAATTCAAGGTTAGTGAGATTTTGTTCCTCATTAAAGTATAAATGCAACAGTAAAAACTTTGAATACAGTCCACAAAATTTTATTATTCCTTAAAAAATCATAAAGTACCCAAGTTACCTAATTTAATTCATATATCTTCTTTTCAGACGAACAAGAACGCGTACAGAAGAAGACATTCGTCAACTGGATCAATTCGTACCTGTCCAAGGTAAGTTCCTACAACTCAAAAATGAATCAAACAGTAAAATGTGAATGAACCGTATCCACATAGTTCGTGAACGTAGCACAAATTCTTCATCGCTCTTTTCACTGTCCCCTCTCCATAATAAGGCATCGTTCGAAATTACTCCTCATCACGAATATCAAAAGTTCCGTGAAATAACTCGTACCTGGCTCGAGGGTCTCGATACTAGGCCGCTACTTCCGGTTACTTTGAAACTCGAATTAGAAATCCTGACTTGTGACATGCATGCTTTAGAAACTGCACTTTGACAACATCCCTGATCCTTCAAAATGTGTTTCCTTCAACGTATGTACGTTGAATACAAGTAAAGTGTATGTTAAAGGAAGGATGTTATAAGCAAGTAGCTTAGAAGATAGTTGCATGAATAGATCAGAATTGAATTCCATACACAACCACGTGTATTCGTAATAAAATTCGTTCGCAGAGGATTCCACCGCTCCGTGTGGACGATTTGATCGATGACCTTAAAGACGGCACCCGTCTGCTCGCTTTACTAGAAGTTCTGTCCGGCGAGAAACTGGTAAGTGCTGCAAATGTATGTCGTAATTCTGATCGATAGAGAGTGTACGATACGCATTTCTGTTCGCAGCCGGTTGAAAGGGGCCGTAACCTGAAGAGACCGCATTTTCTCAGCAACGCGAATACTGCTCTTCAATTCTTACAGAGCAAAAAGGTGAGTGTTCATAAAATTAAGTATTCTGTTCAGTGGTAGACTGTCATGTACAATATTCATCGATTGCAATGTTCATACAATATTTGTGAATTCAATATTTGAGGAGTTCGTTGAATATTAATTGTTCATAGTTCACTCTGAACTTCGTGTTCTATTAATGACTGTGATTGACTGTGAATGAATTTACTTGTTGATAATTCAGTGGACATGTTGGACTATCAATTTATCTTCATGTTGATGATAATTGATTATGAACATCTTTTGGTAGTAATGGTGCACTATGAACATGTCTTCACATTGATAATGGACTATCAATGTATCTTCATGTTGATGATAATTGATTGTGAACATCTATTAATACTAATGGCTTACTATGAACATAATCTTCACGTTGATGATGGAGTATCAATATATCTTCATGTTGATGATAATTGACTGTGAACATCTCTTAATAGTAATGGTGCACTATGAACATAATCTTCATGTTGATGATGGAGTATCAATATATCTTCATGTTGATGACAATTGACTGTGAACATCTCTTAATAGTAATGGTGCACTATGAACATGTCTTCACGTTGATGATGGACTATCAATGTATCTTCATGTTGATGGCAATTGGCTGTGAACATCTATTAATACTAATGGTTCACTATGAACATGTCTTCACGTTGATCATGGACCATCAATGTATCTTCATGTTGATGATAATTAACTATGAACATCTCTTAATATTAATGGTTCACTATGATCATGTCTTCACGTTAATAATGGAGTATCAATGTATCTTCATGTTGATGATAATTGACTATGAACATCTCTTAATATTAATGGTTCACTATGAACATGTCTTCACGTTGATGATGGACCATCAATGTATCTTCACGTTCATAATAATTGTCTGTGAACATCTCTTAAGAGTAATGAGTGACTATGAACATGTCTTCACGTTGATGATGGTCCATCAATGTGTCTTCACGTTGATGACAATTAATTGTAAATGTCTCTTAATGATAGTTGTCTCAGAACATGTCCTCTTGTTGATGAGAAACCATAGACATGTTTTTACGTTGATGATAGACCAACGTGTCTTCACATTGATACTTGTGAACCTCTCCTAACGTTGATACTTGATATCTTAACTTGATATCTGTTGAAAATGGACCCTGAACGTGTCTTAGCATTAATAATTGACTGTGAACATGTTCCCATGTTGATGACTGACTGTGAACATGTCCCCATGTTGATGAATGCCAGTGAACATATCGTCCTGTCAATAACTGCCAGTGAACATATCCTCCTGTCAATGACTGACTATGATCATGTTCTCCTATTAATGATTGACTATGAACATGTCCTCCTATTAATGACTGACTATGAACATATCCTCATGTTGATGACTGTGAACATATCTCAACATCAATAATGATGAACCCTCAATGTATCTTTGTCCACAGATCAAACTAGTGAACATCAACTCATCCGACCTGGTAGATGGCCGACCACCCGTCGTACTGGGCCTGATTTGGACCATCATCCTATACTTCCAGGTAAATGATCTTCCATTTTATTTTTGATACGATCGAAGCTACGCAAATGGAAAGCACACTTACAACTAGAATGCGGTAGTTGCTTAAGTACGAAGCTCGTGCCACATATCAGGTCATTCCATAGTTAATGACGTTTCTAATCTCAGCTTTTCTTTTCCTGCCATGTCTTATACTTCTAAAAATTGTAAATAGTGCTTCTATTCTTTTATTCAGTATTTTCGATAATGTATTGTTTGCAATTTTAATTACCTTTCTGAAAGTATGTGAAAAAGTATGTACAGAGTTAAATTTTTGACAAGACAAATATTTGCATAAAATACGAATTGTACATAATACGACTGTACTGTGTTCTGACGTTAAATAAAGAAGTCATTTGTTGAGTGCATGGCGAATCGATCATAACAAGTTTTTAAATACATCTGCACACGAAAACGAAATTATTCATGGAATGACCTAATACAACATCGAATTACATAAACGTGCTGCGATGTACGCGGCAGCACTACAAATCGTTTACATTTACGGGGATTAATTTGTGAGTCACGAAGGACGATCGATCATTTGTTCTTTATCGAAACTCCCCGCAAAATCTCGTACAGTGAACATTTTACGTAATCTTGCAAAAACAGACGAATTGCCCGACCTTTTCCATTAAAGAAGTTAGTCCTCGTTAAGAACGAAGTAAATTACAGTCCATTCTGCTAACCGTATTTATTCCACAAATACAAGCTACGATCGAAGGATCGAAGGAAGGTGAGTAGCTACGAAAAAAAAATGAAAAAAAAAAAAGAAAAAATTGTCGTTTAACTGGTACGATGGGACGAGTAAAGCCGTAGAGAAAGTCTGTGTACAGTGGTAGCACGCACCTGCATGCAACTTACGCATCACACTAGTACGCACGCTAGTTCTCCTCTTTTCGTCGATTCTCTACCCTCGTCGTGAAGTTTCTCTTTATGCTGCTCCATTAATTCCTACAATTTCTAGATCGAGGAGAATACCAGAGCTTTGGAGTATCTGGGGCAAACCTGGGGCAGTCAGAGCAGTCTGGAGAGCCTCAGCACCCAAGGGTCGGCTACCAGCGAGAGGAAACGCATCAGCAGCGAGAAATGGAAACAGGGTGCGAGGAAGACTTTGCTGCAATGGGTCACCAATGCTCTGCCAAAGTTAGTACACCTATCACTCTTTTAACTCGAAGATATTAACTTACTGTGTATAGTATACAAATGATTAATAAGAATTGTTACATTTTATTAAAAGTCTCGAAAAAGTATACCTTCAAAAATTGTATAGTATCAATCTTCACAAATGGACAATGATTAACAAGAATTCTCATGTTTCACCAAAGTGTCAAAAAAGTATAGTATATCTTAAAAAAATTATGTAATATCAATCTTCACAAATGAACAATGATTAACAAAAACTCTCACATTTCATCAAAAGTGTCAAAAAGAGTATAGTATACCTTTAAAAAATTCTATAATATCAATCTTCACAAATGAACAATGATTAACAAGAACTCTCACATTTCATCAAAAATGTCAAAAAAAGTATAATATACCTTAAAAAAATTATATAGCATCAATCTTCACAAATGAACAATGATTAACAAGAACTCTCACATTTCATCAAAAGTGTCAAAAAGAGTATAGTATACTTTAAAAAAATTCTATAATATCAATCTTGAAAAATGAACAATAATTAACAATAACTCTCACATTACATCAAAAGTGCCAAAAAAGTATACCTTAAAAAATGATCAATCGTATCAAACTACATAAGGCACGTAAAAAATTATCGTATTAAATATCTAAAAAATTGTTTTGCAATTACAGGGACATAAAGGTCCGCGATTTCGGAGAAAGCTGGCGCGACGGAAACGCGTTCCTGGCCATCATCGACGCCATTAAGGCGAACCTGGTGAACATCGCAGCCATGAGAGAGGCGACAAACCGAGCTCGTCTGGCGACAGCCTTCCACGTCGCGGAATCAGAACTGGGAATCGCGAGACTGCTCGATCCAGAAGACGTCGACGTTCCCCAACCTGACGAGAAATCGATAATGACTTACGTAGCGCAATTTCTGCATAAGTATCCGGAGCCAGGATCCACGGCTGCGGATTCGTTCGCTGCTGTGCAACAGGAATATGATGGACTGTTTAATTGGTTGAATGAGAAAGTTAGATATCTGGAGCAGATGGATAGGACCAGTACTTTCCCTTTAAATTATGGAGTACGTATCTGAATAATTTTAAGGATTGTCATTAGAGTAAAGGATTGTCATTAGAGTGTTTAACTAAATTTCTTGCTTGTAGGATTACCTTGCTTTGAAGACGGAGGCTGACCAACAGCTGGTGATTTACAATAAGTTGCAACGCCTTGTTGAGACTCCTAGCATGATCAGCATCACCAGAGACTCGTGGGGACACATACAGAGCCTGTGGAAGACTTTTGAAATCCTCGTAAGTTCATACCAAGCAAATTTAATAAGTGTAACAAGTGTAATAATATGTAATAATAAATATAACAAGTGTAATAAACTTCCACATATTTTTTTAAGTTATTAATATTTGCACCATATGTATTTATCACAACATCCTCTGCCCACAGATGTTACACTGGCTCTGGCTTCTGGACTCCTCCCTCCCAGGCGAGTTAGGAGAAGTCGGCAAATGGTTAGGTCGCGCAGAAGCCCTTCTAATATCCGACACCGACATCCCCGAGGAAATGACCGAAGAAACCGCCAACATAATATCGAATAAGCTAGAAGACCACAAGAAGTTCTTCCTAGATCTACCGTCCATGACAGAACGTTTCCAAGCAGCCAAGAGCTCACAGCTGGCACTGAAGGTGCAGCCTCAACAGCTGGCCAACATGGCGGCCCGATTCGAGAGCCTGCCCGATCGCGCTGCGAAACGTAGAATCCGACTAAAGTTCCTGGAGCACAAATGCTGCCTTATTGCTTTCTTGTTCCTAGTCGAGACGAAGCTGAAGGGGTGGAGCGTGAAATATGGCACTGAAGAGAAGGTGCATCAGATGTTGGAACAGTATAGAAACTTCGTGTCCCGAAACAGGATCTTCCAGGAGTTCCAGAAAGCGTATCTGGACATGCAACAGGTTGTCGAGGATTATAAACGCGAAGGAAGTATTGGTGAGTGATATTCGAATCTTTTTTAGACCAACTTTAGAGAGTATACGGATGAAGAATATTATGACAAAAATGTAGAATTTGTCCAGTAGTATAAATAAGTAATGCTAAAACTAAATAAGCAGTGCTAAAATATCAGCCAAATAGAAATTGCCCAAATTCAACTCACGAATCCTTTATTACAGATAAAGAAGAAAGTGCAAGCATCGACCGTTTCATGAGAGAAACCAGCGAGAAGTGGAAGAGCGTCTCCATGGACCTCCGCTGCGTGCAAAGCATGCTCGAGGAGGTGGTAGCCTACTGGCGTCGCTGGAACGTCGTCTCCGACGAGTTCGAGGCGTGGTTGAATCGAGCAGAGCCAGCTCTGAGCCTCCCTGAGGAAGAGAGGATGGAGTTCTTCCAAGACATAAGTGTCTGGAAGGACAAACATCAGCAACTATCAGATACGGTGACGTTCCTCATCGCCACATCCGACGAGCCAGTGGCTCTCCAGCTGAAGCAACGTTACTCGAGCCTCACAGCGAGATGGGAGTCCCTGTTCCAGGAAGCGAAACAGTACATGCGTGCTGGGGACGTGATACGAAACAGGAAGGACTACAGAGCCGGTGTGGAGACATTACAGAATTGGCTGAGGAATGTCGAGTCGGCCTTGGCAGCCACTGACTTGACCACCACTGAAAAGATTAAGGCTTACGGAGAAAAACTGCAAGTTTTTCACAACGAGGTAGAGGGTATTGAAGATCTTTTTAAGAGCATCAGCAAGAAGTTCCAGACGCTGATTCAAGATCTGTCGCGCGATGAAGTGGACAAGATGATGAACACCTTGAAGAAGGAGAAGGAAGCTCTGGTGAAAGTGCGAGCTCTGATACCCATGCAGCTACATTTGTACCATCAGCTGCTGGTTCAGCAGGAGTCCCTGGAAGCTGGACAGAAGGAGATCGCTGCTTGGTTGGACGAGGCAGAGAGGATGTTGACGAGTATCGACCTGTCTGGAGGCAGAGAGTACATCCTGGCGCAGCTGGAGCGTCACAAAGCCTTCTTCTCGAGAACTCTTTACTACAAGTCGATGTTGGAATCCAAGAACAAGGTTTTCACGAGTATTGTTAAGTCCGTGGATAGCCATGCCGATGTCAGTACGGCGGAAGGTGGTAAAACTTTGAGGGAACTCAATGAACGGTTCAACAAGGTGTCTCAAGCTGCCCAGACCTGGGAACAACGGCTTCAGGAAGCTGTGAGATGCTGGACCAAGTTCAAGGAATGCGAGAGACAGGTCTCCGAATGGCTATCCGTAGCGGAGACCATGATCAATGACAAACATACCGATAATAGACGATCGATAGAGTATCACAAGAATTTCTTCAGCAACGTCAGCGAGAAATGGATCCAGGATTTCGTGAACGCTGGACAGGACTTGAAGAATATTCTGCCTGTCGAACAGCAAGCTCCTATTGTAGAGGCTGTGGAAGCTCTGCAGAAACGTTGGAAAGTGGTACTAACATTTGCACCTCTTCATCTAATGAAACTCGAGTTCCGCCTCGACGAAGCCACTTTCCTGCAATACCTGAAGGGAATCGAGGTTGAGATCAACTCTGAGCAGCAGGCTCTCATGAAGAACGACAACGTGGAAAGTATACTGCAACGAAACAAGGAGTTCTTTGTTAATCGCGGCACCGTACTGGAAGTGGAGAAGTGCCTGCAGACCCTGAAGAAGATCAGTCAGGCGTACAGTCAGTTGAAGTTTAGTGACACCAGTTTGACCGAGGCCACTCAGAATGCTGAACGTATGTGGGAGGAATGTGCTCAGAAGGTGGAACGTTTGAGGGATCAGTTGAAACAAGTGCCTCAACAATGGGCTGCGTATAAGAAGAAGTGAGTACTGTGAAATTAAGATTTTTGGTGTATGATGGTTTGACTTCTCATGACTCAATTTTATATTTTTACTCCAGATTCGACGAGATGGTGCGATGGATGGACCACGTGGACAGCAATCTGAGAAGCATACTACACGAAGTGAACACTCTGGAAGAATTTGAGACCGAGAAAACTATATTCCAGGTAAGAAACCTTTGTCAATGTTCACAAAAATCCTGTATACCAATAAGGATATTGCAAGACCAATAAGGCATGTAAAATGTGCTAAATCTTTCATCTAAATATTTTCGACCATTTTGTCTTTGCATTCCTCATTCTGGATAGGTTCAAGTTTTAACGGTAAATATATAAATATCTTCATATGTGTTCATATCATCCATATCTTCACATGTCTTCATATTATCCATATCTTCATGTCTTCACTTTACCCATATGCAGAAACAAAGTAAATTAACTAGCTACGTCTTTTCGCCAGAAAATATGTCGAGAAGCAGACAGCAAACGTGAAGAGATGAAATGGTTGGTTCAAACCTTGGACAGTCTGACCTCGAACCGTTCAGACCACGAAGCCCTCTCGGAACAGAACCGTCTGGAGCAATTGATCACTCGTTACAAGAATCTGATACCCACCATCGAGATAACCATGACGAAAACGGACATCTACTCGAAGAGTTACACGTACAGGAAGGAAGTGCGTGAAGTGTGTACTCTTCTGCGCAAGGTTCGCGATCAGTCCAAAGTCGACGTGGTGGCCGAAGGTCCAGAGACCTTGCAGACCGCTGTGAGTCATCAGGAAAGTCGCTTGAGCAACCTGGAACAGCAGAGACCGAATATTGTCAGCATGCTGCAACGCGGTAAAGATCTTCTGAAGGACCAACACGCTCCTCCATTCGTGTCCCTCGAAGTTCAGCAACTGGAGTCCAACTGGAACGATACGTACAGTCAAAGTGTGGAGACATTGAAGAGTCTGAAGAGCACTCAGAAACTGTGGAACACCTATTCGGAGCAGAAGGAGGAGATCTTGAAGCTGATCGAGCAAGCTGATGAAGAGCTGAGGAAGATAGAATCGAAGATCTATTTCAATGCCTCCGAAGCGTCGTCCGATCTTCAGAGCAAGCAAGACTTCAGTTCGACCTTGAGGAAATCGGCCGAGGAGCTGCTGAAGAAGCTGCAAGAAACGTACAGTCACTTGACCGATGTCACACCACCGGAGAAAAGGGAGGTTCTGAAGAAAGAGATCACCATTACAGAGAAGCGCATGGAGACCACCTTGAAAACGGTCGAGGAGAAGGTGGTTCATCTGCAAGAACACAGCGCTAGATGGAACAAGTTCCAGGCGAAGCTGAACGCGTTGCAGCTGTGGGCTCAACAGAAGTCGCCTCAGTCGATTGCCGATGCAGCCAACCTGGCGACGACCCCTGAAGAGATGGTGTTCAGAACGGAGAGACTGCAGAAGGAAATCCAAGAGAAGATCGAGACACTGAAGTTCCTCGAAGTGGAGTCTTTCCATCTCGTTAAAGGTATGTAACTCTTTACTATTCTTCAACAAACATTCTGAAGATGATTCAGGTATGATTAAGTATACTGTTATCAATAGGTGAAGGTCACAAAGCTGAAGGCACACAGCTCTGTCGTGACTTCCTGCAACTCGAGAAGGCGATCAAAGATCTGAAGCAGAGCGTCACCGTGCAACGTCAATCCGCCTCGCAGAATCTGGAGACCTGGAAGGAGTACGAGAAAGGAATAAAAGAGCTAAAGCCCTGGATCGAAGAATCAGAGTCCAAGGCCGCCACCATAGGCACCAAACCCACCACTCTGCCTCAAGCGGCTCACATGCTCGAAGAAGCCAAAGCGTTCGAGATACGCTGCCAGCAACACTTCCCCAGGATCCAGGACCTGTCGCTGATCAGCCAAAGAATATCTGGCAGGACGTCGGCATCGGACGAAGTGGACGCAGTCCACACTCGCTGGAACGCCGTTCACGACACGGCCGTGCAGGCAACCACAAAGTTAGACAAACTCGTCACCTCGTGGAACAGCTTCGAGTCAGAGATCAAGGAATTCAAGGAGTGGCTCGAAAGGTCCGAGAAAAGCGTGCTCGTGGAACCTAACACCCAAACGCCGGAAGTGTCGGTGCTAGAGAAGGAGTTAGCTCGTTTGAAGGACTTCAATAAAACGATATCGGACCACCAGGCTCAATTGATCTCCTTAACACAGGTGTCTGATCACATCAGTCACGCTTTGTCCCTGGAGGGAGCGACGAACCTGAAGAGCCGAGTCTCGGACATCAAGTCCAGAGTCAGCAAACTCGCGGACACCGTGAGACTGCAGATCAACCGGGTGTCCGATTCGCTGCTGGCTCGTCAAGAGTTCCAGATGAAGATCACCGACTTCGAGAACTGGATGTCGAGGTTGAGGTCGAATATCGCCGAGATCAGCGACGCTACCGTGGACACTGTCGACACTAATCTTCAGGCTGTCCACGCCTACATTCAGGAACACTCCGAGAAGCAGCCGACTTTCGCAGCCATTTATGACGAAGTCAAACAGCTCTCCTCGAAGGGGTCAGTCATGGAGGCGGCTGCTCTGGACGAGACCTACACCGCCCTGGCGAAGAAGTACAAAGCCTTGGAAGATGACTTGCAGCAGAAGAAAAAGGGTCTGGAGAAGTGGATAGAGCTGCTCAGCTGGTTGAACGACGCGAACGCTCAGCTGAGTCACTGCAAGTACGAAGCAGAAGCTAGGAAACCGACCATAGCTGACCTGGAAAGGTTCTCTTCGGAGTTGCAAACGATATATGACAAGATAGAAAGCTGGAAGCAACATATTCCACCAGATTCAGCGGTGGGTATCCAAATCAGGGACAAACAAGGAAAGCCTCTGTCGGCTTCTGGTCTGCTGAACGACCTCGAGAACAAGGCCATATCCCTGAAGAACGAGATATCCGCGAAACGTGACCGACTGGAGAACCTCGGTGCCAGGTGGAACAACTTCAGAACGCTGCAGCAGAAGATCACCGAGAAGATTCTGAAGACTCAAACCGCTCTTCAGGAAATTGTTTACAACGTCGATTCTTGTAAACAACTGGCACCTGCGGTGGACAAGATCGATGCCCTCATAGAGGAACACCAGAAGAGAGAACAGGAGAAGGAGATTCTTCATTTTGAAGGAAGCTCGTTGATGAAGGAGGATCAACGGTCGACGACCAACATCCAGGTGGCTCTGTCTTCCGTCGATGCTAACTGGGAGAAGGTCAACGAACTCCTCAGAGACCAGAGGAAGAAATACGCCGACATGAACGCGGACTGGAAAGCGTACGAAGAGGCAAAGCAGAAACTGAAGAAGTCCATCGAAGAGTCGAATAATCTGTGTCGATCGGCCAAAGGGGTTCCCTACGACACTACTCAAGCTAACATGAATTTGGAGAAGCACAAGAAGGCGTTGGAGATCCTGAAGAAAGGCAAGCAGTTCCTGGAGAAAATGGACTCGAAGGAGCAGCAGCTGACGAAGGAGACGTCCCTCATGCCCAGATTCGACTCTGACTCGATCGAGAAGGACTTGGCCGAGTGTCGGCAAAGTTATCAGGAAACCTACAACGAGATCAGCGAGAGATTGCAGGCTTATGAGTCTCAAGTGATCATCTGGAAGCAGATAGAAGAATCGAAATCTGAACTTATAACTTGGCTAACCGACACTAGTGAAGCTCTGTCCACTGCCTGCGCAGGTTTGCTGGACACCGAAAGTTGCTACGCAAAATTGATGAGATATCGCGAAGAACTGCCCGGTTACCAACAAGTGTACCGAAACATCGTCTCAAAGATCGAGCAGCTGATCAAACTCAACAATGACACTGATATTCCTACCTTGAAGTCCTTGCAGAAGGTGCTCGACGATCAGTTCAAGCTGGCCAAAGGCTACGCGGATGAACTTGAGTCTGTGACATCCGCCTTGAACGAGAGAGAGAGAAGCATCAGACAGGAGATGAAGAGATGCGGTGATCTGATTTCGAAGATCCGAGAAGACATAATAAAGTGTGACGACTTGACTGGCGAGAATACCAAGATCCTGGGTCGCATCAACAAGTGCCAAGAACTGAAGACTGAACTGGAACAGTGCGATCAGGCTCTGTCGAAGGTTAAAGATTCTATGGACTCCATCGCGACAGACTACCGCGGTTTCTTCAGGGCGAATCTGCCTAACGAGCTGCAGGCTCTTCAGCTCCGAAGAGACGGCGTCGCCAGCCACGCGAACAAGGTGATTGCAACCTTGGTTGCGTTCTTGACCAAACTCTACCACGAGAAATTCGGAGCTCTTCAGCGTATGGTGGTGACTCTCAAAGAAAAGGTGGCCTGGTGTGAACCTGAGCAGAGCAGCGATCGCTACAACCTGGAAGTAAAAATGGCGTCTTTGATGGACGTGGAAGCTGGAATCGCGGATTGCATTGCAAGAAAAGAGGATACGGACAACTCTCTGCAGCTTCTAGCGTCCGTGGAGAGTCCAGAAACGATGGCAGCCCTGAAGGCCGATCGAGACAAGGTGGAGGCCGACCTGGAGTCCCTGAAGTCCAGTTACAGCAAGATCAAAAATGATTTAGAGAGGAACATCGCTTTGTGGCAACGTTATGAACTGACTTCCGAGAGCGTTCTATCGTGGCTGAAGGAGAACGAGAACAAGATCAGAGCCGAAGCTTCCGCACTGCTGAACTTGGAGGACATCGAGCAGAAGATTTCCGAGATGAGTCAAGCTCAGAAGACAGTGATGGAGTATAATACAGAATTAAAGTCGCTGACCGCTTTAGCTGAAGACATCACCAAAGTCAGCTCCGAGTCCAGAGTGAACCAGTACATAGTGCACCTGAACACACGATACGAGTACGTGCTGAAGTTCCTGTCGCAGTACCTGGACAGACTCCGAGAGCTGAAGGAGAACAGGGATCAGTACATAGCGAACAAGAAGAAACTGGAAGAGTGGATCGAGAACGCTGAAAAGACCCTGAAAGTGTACGATGAGATAAGTGGACCTAAACCTATCACGTTCTATCAGTCGCGTCTGAAGGAGCTGAAGGCGTTCGCCGAAGAGCGAGAGGTAGGTCAAGCCATACTGAATCGCACCGCCGAAGCTGGCGAGGCTCTGTTCTCCAGAATCACTCCCGATCAGAGGGAAACCATCAGAGCTGAGTTAAGAAACTTCCGCAACCGAGTGGACGCCATGGCAGATCGCGCGAACGTGATCTACAAGAAGATAGAGAGCGACATGATGCACAGATCGTCCTTCGAGGACAAGTTCTCGCAGGTGAAACAGTGGCTGGTGGACGCCCAGAACAAACTGGGAGAGAAGCAAGAGTTATTGCCGACCTTGCAGGAGAAGAAGTTGGCTCTTCATTTGTACAGAGCAGTGGCTCAAGATGTAACCGTTCACAAGAACATTCTTCAGCAGCTGCAAGAGAGGCTGAGCTCAGCGCCCGATGACGATGCGAGTGAAATGCTGGCGAATGTGATAGAAGCTTATGAAAAGCTGTCCAACGAAGTCGAAGGAAGGATCAACATCGCCGAGAAGCACGTCTCGAACCACGAAGCTTACTTGCAGACCTTCGAGAAGACCCGCGATTGGATCAACACGGTCGTCAATGAGGGCACACCCATCATCGAGGACTTCTCCGTCGAGAAAGACACCGCGCAGAGCAAGATCGCCGCTATCGAGAATTTGTTGCAGCAGCAAGCCGAAGGAGATCGAATCCTCGCCGACTGTAACCAGCAATTGAACATAGTTCTCGAGCAGACCTCTATGCCGGGTCACCCGGCGCTGCTGATGAACTTCGAGCAGCAGAACAAGATGTGGAAGGACTTCCTGAAGAAGTGCACCGCCGCCAGGGATAAACTGAAGCACATGTTCAGTCAGTGGTCCGAGTTCGAGAAGATAGTGGAAGGTTTAGAAGCTTGGATCAAGCAGATGGAGACTCAGCTGAAGGACCAAAGTCTGAAGAGCACGGAGGAAGCGAAGAGGGCGCATCTGCAGAGACTGAAGTCCCTCGAGGAGACCATCCTCGCTAAAGGCAGCGAATTTAATGCTGCGATCGAGAAGAGTCAGAGCATCGAGGCTGAAGCCGACCTCGCGACCAGAGTCTCCAGGCAGACCACGAAGTACCAGGCCATCAAGAACCAGATTAAGGAGGCTGTGATGAGGTACGAGCAGTTCGTGAAGGAGCACAACACGTTCAACGTGAAGTACGATCAGCTGCTGCAGTGGATCACGGACATTCAGGCGGAACTGAAGAAGCACAGCGAGATCGTGGGTGACCTGTCGGTGTTGCAGAACAGGCAGAAGCTCATTCGAGACCTCGGTGACACCAGAACGAAGGAGAACGCTCGCTTCGAGTCCGTGATCGACCTCGGTGAGAAGTTGTATGTGCATACATCCCCGGATGGCAGAGAGATCATCAGACAGCAGCTGAGAAACCTGAGAACCTTATGGGACGGATTCTCTGAAGAGCTCCAGAACACCATGCAGAAGTTAGACCAATGTCTGATGCAGTTCGCGGAATTCTCTCTGTCGCACGAACAGCTGACTGCCTGGCTCCGAGACGTCGAACGAGCCATGCATCAGCACACCGAACTGAAGTGCACTTTGGAGGAGAAACGAGCGCAGCTTCAGAACCACAAGATCATGCACCAGGAGATCATGTCGCATCAGTCCCTGGTTGAGAACGTCTGCGACAAGGCTCAGCAGCTGGTGGATCAGACTAAGGACACCTCTCTGAACGTCTTCCTGCCTTCCATCAAACAGCTGTTCCACAATATCGTCGCCAAGTCGAAGGATTTGCTGGAGAACCTGGAGGACTGCGTGGAGAAACACCATCGATTCAATCTGCAGGTGAAGAGCTTCTCCGATTGGCTCAATGGAGAACGGGAGAAGCTGGCTGAGTGTAATGATGTCACTGGGGAACGGACCGATATCTCTCGGAGAATTGCCACTTTGTCGATGCTGAAGGACGATCAGATGCAGGGAGCTGAGTATTTGGAGAAGCTGAAGGAGCTGAGCGATACGGTGATCAAAAGGACGGCGCCTAAAGGCTGGGACGCCATTAATAAGGAGATCAGCATTCTGGAAGGCAATCTTCGGCAATACTTGAGTGAAATAGGTAAGTTTTAACTCGGTTATTGTCTTGTGTAGGAAATACAGTAAACTCGCGTTATATTGCCACTGATGGATAAGGACGAAACTAGTAGTGTGGAGGCAAAAATAGAATGTGGTAAAATAGCGTACTCCATTTTATCTCGGAGTTTATGTCAGTTCAAGATTGAATTGAAGAGATGATGATATTCAATATCTGTCCACGATTGTTAAAGTTTGAAATGCTTGATTATACAGAATCAGTGGAAGAGAAGCAGAAAGCAGCATTGCAGAAATGGCAGGACTTTGAAGACAAATTGGAAACACACACAAAGTGGTTCAGCACGATGGAGGCCGCCTTCAGAGATCAGCAATTGCAACCCACTTTACAGGACAAGGAGACTCGTTTGCAGGCTTTGAAAGAGAAACGGGACGCCATATTGAAAGAAGAGTCTAAAATCGATGAATTTGTCGACAAGTCTCATAGTCTGCTACACGCTAGCGGCGTCGAACGCATCAAACCTTTAATCTCCCAGATCAGCAACAGGTACTTTATTCAGAAAATAATTAACTTGACAAAATTTTAATGATTAAATAAGTGTTACAATTCATTTTGTATATCTTCCAGATACCAATTGCTACATGTACTCAGCAAGGAGGTGGTCACCCGTTGTCAGAGCATCGTAGACGACCATCGCGCTTACGAAGAAAAATTAAATGTCGTCAACTCTTGGCTTACACAACTGGAACAAAGTTTAGCCAGCTTGAAGAAGGACGAAGGAAACCTAGAAGAGAAGGTTTCCCGTTTGCAGATCTTACTCACCGAGAAGGAGCAAGGAGAACATCGACTGGGAGGCTTGATATCCTTCGGAGAGAGGATCCTAGCCGATACGTCCGCCCAAGGACGAGAACTGATTCGTCAGGAACTGAGACAAGCTCGAGAACGATGGGACAAACTTGTGGAGGGAATTGCTGAGCAACAGAAGAAACAGGATGCTCAGTCTTTGCAGTGGTCTAATTATCAGGAGACTCTGCAACAGATTCTGGCGTGGTTGGACACTATGGAGAGGTCTGTGAAGCAGGACTCTTCTATTACGTGGTCTTCTCTTCAGGAAATCAAGTCCAAGTTGCTGAAGAGCAAGGTACAATTTATTTTATACTTATATTTTATTTTATATTCGAAAGATATTGACTTTGCAGTTCAACGAAGAAATGTTTTTTTGTATTTTTACAAGGTATTTTATTTTGTACAATTTATTTTATACTGGTATATATGTTTTTTTTTTATACACTTGAACAATAGATGTAGACTTTACTGGTTCAGGTAACGAAGAAATATTTTTATATATTTTTGCAAGGTATTTTATTTTGTGCAATTTATTTTATACTGGTACATATGTTTTATTTTATACATTCGAACAATAAATGTAGACTTTACTGGTTCAGGTAACGAAGAAATATTTTTATATATTTTTGCAAGGTATTTTATTTTGTACAATTTATTTTATATTGGTACATATGTTTTATTTTATACATTCGAACAATAGATGTAGACTTTACTGGTTCAGGTAACGAAGAAATATTTTTATGTATTTTTGCAAGGTATTTTATTTTTGTGAAACTTATTTAAACGAGTACATGTGTTGGTGCACTTTTAGGCGATGCATCAAGAAATATTGGCATACAAACGCATAATCGAAGGGGTCTCCGAGAAAGCAAATGCTTTAAGCTACACTCAAGCACCATCCGATGCTCAGCAGAAAGCTGCCTCAGTCTCCGGTCGATACGAGGACCTGGTCGAAATGTCGCAGAAGAACATTTCTAATTTGGAGACTCTTCTAGACACCTTCCAACAGTTCTACGATCTCCAGAAGTCGTACCAGGATTATCAGAAGCAGCAGTGGGAGCAGTTGGCAAATTACAGCGATTATACAGGGAACAAGGCTGCTCTTCAAGCTCAGTTAGCTAAGATCATGGAACTTCAGGATGGTCAACGGGAAGGAGAGCTGAAACTGAACATTCTGAGTGAGCATGTAGCTCAGAGCGCTCATAACTTGTCACCAAGATCTTTGGAATCTATGGAAAGGGACTTGGCTACGTTAAGGTAAATGTGGACAAATATGTAAATATGTGATGAATTATCTTCAAATCTGCAATATTCAGGAGGCTCAGTTTGATTTTGATTTTTTTGACAGATTTGAGCAGAAGAAGTTCGCCACCGCAGTGAACGACATCATCCGATGCATCGAAGAGAGAATTCAACAGTGGAGCGAGTACGAAAACTCCCTGGAACGATTGCTAGCTTGGCTGACCGATGCAGAGTCTTCCTTAAAGAATTACTCGCTGAAGAACACTTTGGACGAGAAGCAGGAGCAGCTTGAAAAATATCAGGTAATATCTTCAGCAAAAATCAGCACCTTCGGTTCTTATTTTTTTGCTTCTTCAAGAAAATACGTGATTCGACCCTTCTCTGAATCTTCACCTCCACACATGATTTTTTAAATTATTTTAAAGTGTAAAGAAGTTTCATTAAAGTGTATGGACTAATTCGAAGAAGGGTTGAGTACAAAGTTTGAACACAGATCACATGAGGTAGTATTTTGAGGAGATACGAGAAAGAGAGAAATGGTCTCGTAAAAATTCAGGAATTGTATTTGCAAAACTTTCTCAGGCACTACAAAAAATCGCCCTGTCGTGGGACACGGAAGTGACGGAACTGGTGGCCCTCGGAGACCACCTGGATCAAGTAAGAAACCAAAACCTGAGAATTGTTCAGCAAGGCGTGGATGCTTTCCTTTCTACGAATCTCTCTTTCATCTTTCTTTGCATTGTATTTCTCTGTTATCTTTCTTCTATTCTATTCTTGTATCTTCAATATTTCAGTGTGATTTGACTATTCGACGTAATTGGGAACTTCTCGACAGATTGCGGATACCTGTTACACACACGCACACACTGTACTGACATTTTCTCGAGTTTCTTAACACGTACACGAGGATGCACGCAGACCTGTTGTTCCGAGCATGCTTGATCGAAGAATCGTGTTTTCAAACTCGTCTCGTGACACGCGAAGATATTCGCATCTTTGATTCACAATGACGGGAACGTTTTTTATCGTTACAAAATAATTAATTCTGTGTGCGTTTTTACTGGGAAATTTTGTTTCAAGAGTTATATATTATATTCTATATTATTTCAAGAATTATATTTTATATTCTCTATTGTTTCAAGAATTATATATTATATTCTATATTCAATATTTATATTCTATATTCTATATTCAAGAATGTTTCAAGAATTATATATTATATTCTGTATTATTTCAAAAAATTGACAGAAAGCCTGATTTTAAACAAATAATGTTTTTAACATCCAACGAATCGCACACATAATTTATTATTTTCTAACAATTTCTTTGTGAATACACAAACAAGAACACAATATAAAAAATCAACGTCAAGGTGTTTTCACAGAGATGAATTTGTTCGTACAATAAAATAAAGCATTTCTCGAAAACATTGTTTGAGACTTTTGGGTTCTTCAGCAATTTCTTCAAGGTTCTGAAGCACTCGACAGCCACAAACACTGTTACATTTTTATACATGAGATCAAACATGGCCCCTTAATAAAAATTCTCCATATCTAAACACATCTTTCATTCGTAGATGTTGATCGTCAATCTCCGTCAAAATGAAGCTGAATTCGACAAGATGAGCGACGAGTCGTCAGAGTTGATGCAAATCAGCGGTGAAACCCGGTTTTCGGCCAGTGTTCAGCAGATCACTTCTCGTTTCCAGTCCATTCAAGCAACCGCCAAGGTAAGATAATAAAAATCTTCATCCAATCTCGTACATTCCGATCAGAATTAAATTTCTATTCTTAAAATTAAAGGAACTGGTCAAGAAATGCGAGCAAGCAGTGGCAGACCACGCAGCCTACTTGGAGCGCTACAAGCAGTGTTCAGAATGGCTGGCTAACACTCGGGTGACTTATCAGTCCATCAAGGAAGACCTGGGCGGCACTCGACAAGAGCTGTCCTCGAACGTGGGGATCCTGAAGGACCTGCTAGCCCGTCAGTCCTCAGCAACCCTCCTGATAAACAATACAGTTGAAGCTGGAGAGAGATTGTACCCAACAACAGGCATGGAAGGAAGAGAAATTGTTCGCCAGCAACTTCTAGATCTACAGCAAGCCTTCGAAGAACTGTACGACGGTATAGCTTCAACGGAACGCGAGTTGCAGTCGAAGATCTCGCGCTGGTCCGGTTTCGACGACTCGAACGAGGCCTTTGAGAAGTGGCTGAAGACCATCGAGGCTCAGCTGAAACCTGAAATTGAGCTGAAGACCACTTTAGATGAGAAACGTGCTCAGTTACAGATTTATCGTACTTTCTTACATGACGTGCAGTCTCATCAGCAGGATCTTCTTGATCTTCGCGACAAGGCTGATAATCTCCCTGATTCTACGGACAAGGTGCATCAGACTCTGAAGAAGTTGAACGACCGACATGCGACGGTGCTGAAACGAGCGGCCGCGTTCGTTGAGAGGTACGAAGGCATCGTCAGTGATCATCAGCAGTACAGCAAGGCTGTTCTTGACACTCATGAATGGCTGGACGCGACCCACAACGCAGTCATACTTTGGGGTGACACGGAGCTTGAGCGAGTGTCACTTCACACTAACCTGGACCGCCTTAAGAACCTTCTTCAGAGTCTGCCCGAGGACAAACCGAGGGTTCAGCAAATAAGGACTCTGGGTGAGAAGGTGATACCAGGTACTTTAGAGTCTGGTCAGATCAACATCCGTTCGCAGATAGATTCGTCTCAGCAGGAGTGGGAGAGTCTAGTGACAGCTGTCAAGTCCACCATCGAGACTCTGGAGAACAAACTCCAACAGTGGAACGAATTCGAGACGTCCAAGGAGAAGTGTCTAGCCTGGATGAGGGAAACCGACACGAAACTTCATGCTGTTGACTTGAAGCCCACCTTGCAGGGAAAGAAGAAGCAACTGGAGTCCCTACGTGTTCTTCAAGGCCAAGTTCGAGCTAAGGAGTTGGAAATAGACGCAGTAACAGAGAAGGCTCAGCAGCTCCACAAGAACATAACCTCTCGAACCACGCACATATCTGAGCTGAGCATCAAATACCAGCAGATTTCGAACAAGGTCAAGGACCTGAACAGCCGCTGGCACCAGTACGTGACCACTCATCAGGAATTCGATAACCAGATGGCGGAGTGCACCAGGTGGTTGGACGACATCAGGAAGAAATTAGCCTACTGTTCAGATCTGGGTGCATCCTCGCAGAAGGACTTAGAGAACAAGATGGAGATAGTACAAGATTTATTGCTCTACAAAGAAGATGGTTTCGCCAAGGTTCAGGGAATAGTCGAACTTGCTCAGGCTGTCTTAGCGAACACTGCACCGAGTGGACACAAAGCTATCAATGACGCCGTTGGAAAGCTTCAGGAACAGTGGAGCGCTCTGGCCTCAAAGATGCTGGAGACCAAGACCAACCTGGACGACTCCATCAACAAGTGGGCTGGTCTCCTGGAACAAATACAATCCATGAACAAAACGGTGGACTACATGCAGACAGCCTTGAACGAGTTCACGCCCTTCCAGACGACCATGTCCGAGAAGAGGTGCCAGCTGGAACGCATAAAAGCTCTGGAAGAGAAAGTCCGATGCGAGAACATCGAAGTGGACAGTCTGAAGATCAAGGTTGCCGAGATGATCGCCAGTGGACCTCAAGGTCTAGCCGCCTCACAGGCTCAGAGTATTTTGAATAGATTTGATACGTTGTTCGAGAAGATCAAATCCTTGCTGGTTGAAAGAGAGGAGCAGTACAAGGATCATCGACTTTACAAGGAGGCTCACGATGACATCATCAACTGGTTGAGCAGAGCTAGGGAGAAGATACCGTCGATGAAGCAGAGGTCACTGAGTGATAAATTGGCTATTGAAAACGCTGTCGCGCCTCTGGAGAGCTTGCTGAACAAGAAAGCTCAGGGAGAGTTGCTGGTGGAACATCTTCAGCACACCGGGAAGGTCGCTAGCGCGAGTACCAGTCCTCAGGGTCAGGAAATCATCAAGAACGAGGTCCGAGCGTTGACTCAGAGCTTTGAGGAGTTGTTCAGAGGTACGATTTCTTTAAGATTCCATCTCAGTGTCTACTACTAAGTCTAACTTCCCAGTCTCTACATATAAACTTTGCTAATATCCATCCCAAAAAATTTGCTTCCAGAAATCAAACAACAGAAGGACCAGCTAGAGCAGACAGTCAGTCAATGGCGCGATTACAAGGACGAATACGAGCGTCTAAGTGACTGGTTGCAGCAATTCGACATTCTCATCAAGGCCCAGAAGAACTCGCTGCTACCAAACGTAGCTGAGAAAGAAAAGCAGGTTCAAGAAGTGAAAGAGATACTGGAGAATTTATTAAAAGGTCAAGAGCAGATCGACAGGTTCAACAAGACAGCTTCCAGTCTCCTGTCCTCCCACCTGGACACCTACATAAACAACCAACTGCGTCACTTGAACTCTCGATACCAAGTCCAAGTGAACTTGGCCAAAGACGTTCTCAACAAGGTGGAGACAAACCTGGCTCAACACAAAGAGTACGAAGCTAACCTGGCTAAGACTCGTGCGTGGATCGAAAACGCGAAGCAGATCATTCGTAAGGGTACAGAGGCTGCTTCTACTAGCAGTCGCGAAGAATTGCAGAACAGGTTGGATAACATTCAGGAGCTGCTGAGGAAACGCGAGGAAGGTCAGAACCTGGTGCACCTGACGGTGAACTGTGGAGAGAAGGTGATGAGGAATACAAGGTCAGACGGTCGTGAGGAGATCAACGCGCAGCTGAAGGAGATCCAGAACGACTGGGAGAGGCTGGTTAAGAAGATTTCGACCACCAAGGTGCACTTGGAGACTAGTTTACTCCAATGGGCAGACTACAGCTCCTCGTACCTGCAACTCCAGCAGTGGATCAACGACCGCGAGGCGAAGTTGCAGCAGGTTTGCGAGCAAAAGGTGTCCAAAGCCAGGAAGGGTCTGGCTGGATTAAGTTCCTTGGCTATTGGCGAGAGGAAGGCGAACCTCAGGCAGACGAACAGTATTGTACAAGACATAGTGGCCTTCGAGCCGATGATACAATCCGTCACCACGAAGGCTGAGGATCTGCGACAAGCTACCCCGGCCACGGAGATCTCGATCAAGTATGAAACCCTGAGCAAACAGGCGCAAGAACTGTACGCTAAGCAGAAGGAGACCGTGGAGCAGCATCAAGCCTTCATCGACAGCGGAAACGAGTTCATACAGTGGATCAGAGCTGCTAAGGAGAGACTCGGAAAGTGCTCGGAACCCACCGGTGACAAGGAATCGCTGGCCAACAAGATCACTCAGTTGAAAGTCCTGCAAAGTGAGCTACCAGAGGGTCAGAAGAAGCTGCAGCATGCTCTGGAACAGGGCAACGCCGCCTGCCAGATCGCTGATGAAGAAGACAAGGAGATAATTGAAGAGGAAGTGGCGTTGCTGCAAGAAGAGTACGACAGCTATGTGTAAGTAGATACTTCTTTGATATTAAAGACTTCAGATGATATTAATACAGATAATATTTTATAGAGATTCGTTGAACAACACGAAGAGCCTGCTAGAAGTAGGAATCGTGAAGTGGACGGAGTACGAAGATCAGTTCTCTGAGGCAACCGAGTGGCTCACTCAGACTGAGCAGTTGGTGCAGTCGTTTAACAAACTGCAGGATAGCTTGGAGGAGAAGAAGAATGTCCTCGAACAGTTCCAGATTCACTTGCAGACGTTGTTCGATTGGCAGAAGGAGCTGGATCGTCTGAATATGAAGGCTCAGATGCTGTTGGAGACTTGTGCTGACACCAGAATATCTAACGCAATCACGCAACTGACGACGAAGTACAATGCTCTTTTGTCTCTGGCGAAGGAGATCATGAGGCGATTGGAGCTGCATTATCAGGTACTGAAATCGATGATGGTATATTGTGAAACTTTGGAAAGGTAGACATTTTGTGTGCTTGACAACTATTAGTAATATGATGAATAAGAACGAGGATGTGAACATTTTCCTACATCTAGATTCTAGGCCTAGGTTTATCATGATTTTTAATAACCACCATCTTTTCCTTTCCAGGAGCACCAACAGCACAATACTCTGTACCAAGAATGTCAGGACTGGATCGAGCGAACTCGAGACAAGCTGGGCGAGTGCAAAGAGATCCCCAGCACGTTAACCGAAGTGAACAACAAGCTACACACCTGTAAAGCGATCAGACAGACCCTGGAGCAAGGCCAGAACAAACTGCGTTATGCTCTGGAGCTCAAAGAGAGAGTGATCATGAACACTGAGCAAAATGGCGCAGCGAAGATTCAGGAAGACACGGAGAACCTGAAGACAGAGTTCGAGAAGTTGTTGGTCAATGTGGAGGACATCAGACAGAAACTAGCTGCAAGAGCTACTGCGTTGGAAGAGTTGAATAAGATTCATCGACTCACCACCGATTGGATCGAGGAGATCGAAGGCAAGATCCAGCCCGGGGAAATGTATAAGAATGATCTTAGCGAGAAACGAGCTGTTCTGGAGAAGTATAAAACGGTGCAGAGGGATATACAAGGTCATGGGGAAACTGTGGATCGTCTGAAGGCTAGGCTTGCTGAAGATTCTAGCATTCCTGTTGGACCCTATCAGTCTACTATCGCGAAGTATGATGAACTGAATAAACTGATCGCTGATAAGATACGTGTAAGTATATACCAAAGTTAATTTAACAATTCTAAAAATTATTCTCAAAATAGTCCACATGGTTCACTAGGCATAGTATCTCAATTTTCCAAATTATGTTCATGCAATCAAAAAGTATAGATATTTCTAACATCTGTAAGCTAACTTTCTAAGCTAAAAACTAACTTTCCGTCCCTCTAATATTGCAGAACCTCGAAGAGCAAGTGAACGATCACGAAAAGTTCCAACAAGCGCACAACGAAGCAGCCGACTGGGTCCGCCACACGAAACTGGAGCTGCAACAAAACTGCGACACCCACGGCGAAAAGGACCGAATCATCGAAAGAGAGAACAAAGTGAACCAAATCATCGCGTCTCTTCCCAAAGGAGAGACCTTGATCTCAAAGGTGATCCAACTGAGCGACGCGGTGATCTCCAGTACCGGACCAGAAGGTCAAGAAGCCATCAAGCAGGACGTCAAACAGCTGCAATCAAACTGGAAGTCCCTGCAGACGCAGTGTCATGAATCACAGAAGACCCTGTCTAACTGCATCGCTAGCTGGTCGCAGTTCACAGCGGCATTGGACAGCATGAAGAGGTGGATAGACCACTTCCAGAAGAAGGTGAACGACGAGCAGTCGAAGGAGAACAAGACTCCAGAGGACCTAGTTCGTTGCAAGAGTCTTGTTGAAGAAGCTATACAGCAGAAGCCTGTTCTGGAGGACCTGAACGACAAATGCGAAGCTCTTCTGGAAATGAGTGCCTGCAGTTGGGCTCGGGATAAGACTGTCCAACTGCAGTCTGCGTATACTTCTCTATTGACGGACATGCAAGGTCTAGTTTCAAGGGTGGAGAAGAATCTTTCGGATCACACAGAGTTCCTGAAGGCGAAGAAGGAGATGGAGGACTGGCTGCGAATCGCTCAGGGCTCGGTGCAGGACTGCATGGGTGTCGGGGACGCTGAGTGGGCGAAGGACAAATTGGAAACCATCAAGGTAAGTCATTAAATACAATTTATAATGTAATATAAAATTAAAGGACTCGGTGAGAAAAAGAAGTATGATCATCATCCAACCTAGCTCAATTGAGAAGAAACTAGTTTTCACATAAATAGTAGTCACATATTTTTCAATTGGCCTTTCAATTGATAACAATGTTGAACCTAATCCTACATCAGCTTTTTAGTAACTAATAAAATTAATTATACTGATTTGGACTAATATTGTTTTTCCAAAGATCGTCGCAACGAGGATCACCGAGGGTCAGCACTTGCTCTCAACCTTACAAGACGCCTTCACAAAGGCAATCGACACCGCAGTGCCAGAGCAGCAAGAACAGTTAAGATCAGACATGGCCGGACTTCTCTCGAGCTGGGAGCAGCTGAGTATCGACCTAAACACGGTTCAAGCTCAGCTGAAATCTTTACTGACTCGCTGGGACGATCACACGGAGGCTCACGGAAAGCTCAAACGTTGGTTGGAAGAGACCGAGAAGAGCATGCAGGATTTACCAGACACCAAAGGAGAATTCGGCGATATGAAGACACTGCTGGAGCGTTATAAACATATTCAGGAAGAAGTCCGCGGGAAGAAGTCAGAATTGGACCACCTGATGGAAGAAGCGGAGGAGTTATCGAAGTTGGCGAAGAAGAACACACCTCTGGAGCAGACGAGAGAGCTGTTGAAACGCTGGCAGAGTCTGAGTAGCACAGTCGACGAAGGAAAGAAGTTGATAGAGAACGAGATGCAAGAGTACAACGCTTACCACGCAGCTCTTCAAGAAACTGAAAAGTGGCTGTTACAAATATCCTTCCAACTGATGGCTCACAACTCGCTGTACATCACCAACAAAGAACAAACAGTCTCTCAAATACAACAACACGAGAATTTGTTAGTCGATATCGAGAACTACACCAGCGTGCTAGACGACCTGAAGCTGAAAGGAAACGGACAGATAACTCGTTACGTCGCCGCGAACCCAGAAATAAAAGTCACCATCGAAACCCAGCTGCAGAATGTCCAGGAAAGCTACAACTCGCTGTTGAACACCGCGTTGCAGATCAAGAAACGATTGGCGGAGTCCCTGGTCAAGTTCCAGGAGTACGAGAACACTTTGGAGAGCATCATGAAGAATCTGGACGCCTATGAACCTGAAATCGCCCAGGAAATGGAGGCGCCTTTGGAAACCCTCGAAATGGCGAAGCAGCGTTTCGAAATTGCCCGGACCTTGCATAATAAGCTACAGGGCGAAAAGACGCGGTTGGCGTTGGCTGTAGAGGCTTGTGAGGCTGCGGTCGCTTGTGTATCGAGACCTGGAAGCCCTCTGGACGCTCCGGCTGTGCAGATACCTGCGAGGGAGGTGGAGGTTCGGAATAAACTTGAGGAGCTGATTGATCAGGTATGTGTGATGGTTTGTAATGGAAATTCATATATACACAGGGTTGTGGTATCAAGAATAAAGGCATACACATGTGTTAGGGTTATGTTATCAAGAATTAGATCATACACATGTATTAGGCTTATTTTATCAACAATTAGGTTACACATTGAATTCCTACATGTCACCATTCCACTTCCACGTAATAAAAATGCTATTTCACCAGGCGCAAGGACATCTCATGAACGTAACGAAGACCCTAAACGAACTCGAAGAGCAGACCCGCCAGAAGAACGCTCTCCGAGCCTGGATAAACCAGCAACGAGCTCTCTGCGCCGAATGGAAGTCTCGTCCCGCAAAATTGCGATCCGAAGCTGCACACGCAGAACTGCAAGCAATGAACGATCTCCTAAGTAACGTTGGTGAACGCAGAACACACGCGATGACAGAACTAGCGATTCACGAAGACGACCACGACATCGAGGAAGGTTTGAACAAACTCGAAGCAGAACTGACCGATGCGATTGCCGGAAAGCAGGCTGCTCAAGATTTGATACAGAAGTATCGATCGCAAGTGCAGAACGTTCAGTCCTGGTTGGACGCGTTGTCCAAGAAGGTGGACGTGATCGAGAAGGGCAATGGACAGACGATTGGACAGAAAATAGCGAATGTGAAGGAGATTACTGCTGAGTTTGAGTCTCAGGGACCTGGGAAGTTGAACGAAGTGAAGAGTCTGGGTGATCAGGTGATGGACTCTGTGAGCAATTTGGATTCGCAGCAAATTGAGGAGCAGATTAAGTCGGTGGAGAGAAGATATGCTGATATTGCCAAGAAGCTGCAGAGGAAGGCTCAGGTGCTGGACATGACTGCTCAAGGTATTGAAGCGACGAGGCAGGAGATTGAAGAGAACCGGGACTGGATACAACAGAAGAAGGAGCAGATTCAGTTGTCGGAGCCGGTGGGATTCGACAGCAAACAGGCTGAAGAGAGACTTCTTGCTCTGAAGGTATTTATTCAAAAATTAGTTGAGAACTTGACATCCTTCCATTTGCTGACATTCTTTCTATGTTAACATGCTAAAAATCCTACACAAAATTTTGTAGTTGACTTTCTGTTACACTCTGTCATCGTTGAAGAACCCAGAGTGACCAGCAAGTTTCACCTCAATTCTGTTTCAGGCTATGCTGAAAGAAGCTGAAGGAAAGCAGATGGTGATCGACACTCTAGAGAAGCGCGTCGGCAACATGCAGAACGAGTTAGAAACCAACGAACAGCAGCAACTAGAAAACGATACCAAAGCACTCCGAGGAGAGCAAGCACAACTCTGCACCCTCTTAACCGAAGGAATATCCACCGCCACCGCAGCAGCCGACGCTCGTCGCAAGTTCGAGGCCGATCTAGAACGCGCAAGAGCGTGGATCAAGTCTAAGAGCAACAACTTGAAGAAACTCAGCGGTTATCTGCCACTCAAGGCTGCCAAAGTGGAACAAGACATTGTGCAGCACAACGAACTGGAAACTGACATTGCGTCTTTCAACGAGAAGGATCTGAACGATATCTTGAAACATGGGCATAATTTATTGAAGGAATGCAACGAGGAGGATCGTGCTAAACTGGAAGGTGTCCTGGACGAGTTGAGTAAAGATTATGATGAGTTGAAGAGCGAGGCTCGGGAGAAGCAGGCGGCGTTGGCGGATCTTCTTCAGGGGCGGAAAGCGTTCGAGAGTGAAATTGACAAGGCTCAGAGGTGGATTAATGAAGCTGAGGTGGCTACCTCCTCGGATTTACGGACTTCGAGCATCGATATTCTGCGGGAACAACTTGCTAAGGTGAGACGTTATTTAAAATCATTATTTAATTATTTAAAATTTATTTAGATACTGTTTAAGTATTGCTGGAGTACTCAGGTATTGCTTGTACTTCAATCCCTACATCAGGTTGCAAATGTGTTACATTAAAAATAAACTATGCAGTTCTTGTCTCTTATCAGACAAATGTACAATTCACTTACATATAAATTTACTGTTAAAGTTATTAGAAATATTTGTCTTCTCCAATTGCAATTTATCACTTTGGATTTATCTCAATGTTCATCTCAATGATTTATACAATGCTACTCTTGCTGTTGCTGGATTTATATGTTATATAACGTTGATGATTTATGTTGATATTACAAAAACTTTTATCGAATAAATTTCCAGTACGATCGCCTGAAGAAGGAAGCCAAAGACTACGCAGACGACATCGAAAAGATTCTCCAGCAAGGAAAATCCATCCTACCGACAGTGAGCGACGCCGACAAGCTCGAATTAAACGAGCAGCTCCAGAACATGAAGGAAGCGCACGCAAAAGTAGCTGGAATCATAAACGAAAGAGCAGTAGCTCTCCAGAAGAGCATCGACGAAGCCGAAGAATCGCTAGCACGAGTCGCGGAGGCAGTGCAATACATGACGGACGTACAGAAAGAACTTCACGAACTTAACAAACCAATCGGTGCTCGCGTCGAGGATGTGGAAGCCATGTTAGACGCTTACGAGAGGATCCTGAACGACCTCAAAGAGAACAAGGCAAAGTTGTCCGATTTGCAGTCGGTCAACGTTGCTGATCTCCACGGTGTGCTGACTCAACAGGACGATCTCATAAAGGCTATCGAGTCGCAGATAGCCAAACTTCGTCAACTGCTTCTGTTACGGCAGCAGTTTATTGCTTTGATCACGGAAATTACTACCTTCATCGCTAAGTACACGGAAATTGTTAGGGACATTGAGAACTCGGGGCAGACTATTGAGGAGAAGATCAAAAGGTACGGTGAACTTTGCTTTTATATCATTTTTTATTTATAAAAGACACTAAGTCTTCACTAAAATGTTACACTTAATTATAATAGTAAATAGTCTTCATTAAAATGTT